ACAATCAGCACCGGGTCTAACACGGTTTGATCCCACAATCTGTTAGATCCTGACTTAAGCCAAAATCAAGTCAGATAAACTGACTGAGCCATCCAGGTGCCGCATGGAATTCCAGTTCTTTATTTGGATATAGGAAAGTAATTGACTTTTTAATAATTAACTTTTATCCTATGATGTTGCTGTATTTGCTTATTACTTCCAGTAAGTTCTTTCTTTCTTTTTGTAGATTCCTTGAGATTTTCTACATAGACAATCATATTGATTTCAAGTAAAGAAAGTTTTATTTTTGCTTCAATCCCAATGATCTCATCTCTTCCCCTCACCCACCTCCCCTCTGGCAATCACCAGTTTGCTCTCTATATTTAAGAGTCTATTGTCTCTCTTTTGCTTTTTTTGTCTCTTAAATTCCATATGGTAGTTGCCTTTCTTTGACTTATTTCGCCTAGCACTGTAGTCTCTGCATCTATCCATGTTGTTGCAGATGTCAAGATTTCATTTTTTTTATGGCCAAGTAATATTCCATCCATTGTGTGTGTGTGTGTGTACTGCATCTTCTTTATCCATTTGTCTGTCAGTGCACTATTAGGTTGCTTGCATATCTTGTCTAGTATAAATAATGTTATATTTATATATAAACATAGCGGTGCATATATCTTTTCAAATCTGTGTTTTTATTTTCTTTGGGTAAATACACATTTGTGGAGTGACTGGATCATACGGTAGTTCTCTTTTTATTTTTGAGGGAATTTTATACTGTTTTCCACAGTGGCTGCACCAGTTTTCATCCCTACTATCAGTACATGAGGGTTCCTCTTCCACATTCTCACCAACTCCTGTCATTCCTTTTTTGAGTCTAGCCATTTTGACAGTTGTAAGGTAATATCTCGTGGTTTTGATTTGAGTTTCCCTGATGATGAGTGATGATGAGCATCTCATCATGTGTCTCTTGACCATCTGTATGTCTTCTTTGGAGAAATGATTATTCAGGTTCTCACCCAGTTTTTAATCAGCTTATTTGTTTTTTTCTGTGTTAAGTTATATAAGTTCTGTATCATGGAAATCAGATCTTTAACAGATACATCATTTGCAAATATTTTCTCCCAAGGTTTTGTTTTTGTTTTATTGATAGATTCCTTTGCTGTGCAGAAGCTTTTGTTTTGGCGTAGTCTCAGTAGTTTAATTTTGCTTTTGTTTCCCTTGCCTGAGAAGACATATCTGGAAAAATATTTCTACAGCTGATGTCAAAGAAATTACTGCCTACATTTTCTTCTAGGAGTTTTATGGTTTCAGGTCTCACATTTAGGTTTTTAATCTCTTTTGTGTATGGTATAAGAAAGTGGTCCAGTTTCATTCTTTTGCATGTAACTATCCAGTTTTCCCAGTAGCATTTGTTAAAGAGACTGTCTTTTTCCCATTGTGTATTCTTGCTTCCTTTGTTGAAGATTAATCGACCATATAATTGTGGGTTTATTTCTGGGCTGTCTCTTCTGTTCTACTTTGAAAAGCCAAAGCCGTCTTGGGAAAGAAAAACAAAGCTGGAGGTATCACAATCCCAGATTTCCAGATAGAGTACAAAGAGCTACAGTAATCAAAACAGTATGGTGCTGGCACAAAAATAAACACATAGATGAGTGGAACAGAATAGAGAGCCAATCATATATGTTTTATTTATTTTTTTAGTGTGTTTTGTGTGTGTGTTGTGTGTGCTTTTTTGTTTGTTTGTTTGTATGTTTGATATGGGTCTCACTGCACTAGCTAGGGCTTCCAGCACAGGGTTGAATAGGAATATTGAGACCAGACATCCCCGCCCTATTCTTGCGCTTAGAGGAAAAGTGTCCAGTCTTTAACATTAACTTTGATGTTGCTGTAAGATGGTCTTTATCAAGCTGAGAAAGCTCCCCCTATTCCTATCTTGCTGAGAATTTTCATCATGAATGGCTATTAGATTTTGTCAAATGCTTTTTCTTCATAAAAATTGGATCATGCAAATCTTCTTTGCATGTTCTTTGGCCTGTTGATGTACTGGGTTGTATTCATTGATTTTTTTTTTTTTTTTTAACATTGATCTAGCCTTCCATACCTGAAATAAATTCCACTTGGTTGTGGTTTATAATTTATTTTATACATTGTCAGATTTGATTTGCCAATATTTGAGGATTTGTGTGTCTATGTTAATGGGAGATATTGGTCTTTAGTTTCTCATGTCTTTATCTGGTTTTGGTATTAGGATAATGCTGGCCTCATGAGTTTGCAAGTGTTGTTTACTGGAGGAGATTGTGGAGAATTAGTATTTTTTCCTTAAATGTTTAGTAGAATTCATCAGTGACACCATTTGGGCTTTGTGCGTTCTATGTTGGGAGTGATTTGTTATTCAAGTTTTTTATTTATTTTATTTCATTAAAAATTTTTTAAAGTTTATTCATTTTTCAGAGACAGAGAGTGAATAGGTGAGGGGCAGAGAGAGAGGGAGACACAGAATACAAAGAAGGCTTCAGGCCCTGAGTTGTCAGCACACAGCCTGATGCGGGTCTCGAACCCACGAACCACAAGATCATGACCCGAGCTGAAGTCAGATGCCCAACCAACTGAGCCACCCAGGTTTTTTTTTCTGTTTTTTTTTTTTTTTTTAACAGATACAGATCTATTCAGGTTATTTATTTCTACTTGTAGGAAATGGTAGCTGTGTCTTTTAAGGAATTTGTCTGTTTCATCCAATTTTTCAGGAAAAGAATTGTTTGTGGTATTCTTTTATTATTTTAATGTCATTAGGATCGGTATTGACCTATCATTTCTGAGATTCACAATTTGTTTCTTTCCTTTTTTTTCTTGGTTAGGTTTTCTGAAAGTTTATTCATTTTATCAATCTTTTCAAAGCAACTGTTGGTTTCATTGGCGTTTTTTTTTTCATGTTTTCAGTTTCATTGATGTATCCCAACTTTTCCTTCATTTTGCTTGCTTTCAGCTTAATTTGCCTTCTATTGTTAACTAATATGGAAACTTAGGTTACAGATTTAAAGTTTTTCTTTTCTAATATATACACTTGATGCTATAAAATTCCTTCTATGTGTTTCAGTGCATCCCACAAATTTTGATAAGTGCTATTTTTATTTTATTTAAAGTATTTTAAAATTTCTCTTGAGGCTTCTTTGAACTATATGTTATTTATAAATGTGTTGTTTAATTTTCAAGTGTTTGGGAGATTTTCCAGCTATCTCATGTTTCTTGATTTCTATTTAATTCCATTGTAGCCTGAGAATATATTTTGTATGATAGCTATTGTTTTAAATTTGTTAAGGTGTGTTTTATGGTCAAGAATATGCTCTATCTTGGCAAATGTTCCATATGAGCTAGAATAGAATGATAAAATGTGTGTTTTACTATTTTGAAAAAAAATTTTTAATGTTTTTTATTTCTGAGAGAGACAGCACGAACAGGGGAGGGTCAGAGAGAGAGGGAGACACAGAATCCGAAATAGGCTCCAGGCTCTGAGCTGTCAGCACAGAGGCCGATGTGGGCTTGAACTCACAAATTGTCAGATCATGACCTGAGCCGAAGTTGGACGCTCAACCGACTGAGCCACCAAGGCACCCCTGTTTTACTATTTCAGATGGAGTTTTCTATACCTGTCAGATAGATCATGTTGACACATGGTGCTATTCAGGTCATTTATGTACTTACTGATTTTCTGCCTCCTTGATCTGTCAATATTGACAGAGGAGTGTTGAAATCTCCCAACTATGAGTATAAATTTGTGCATTTCTCCTTTTAGTTCTGTCTGTTTTGAGGTACATACTTTGAGACTCTCTTGACAGATGTATGCATATGTTCTCTATGAGGATTTGAATCCGTGTAATGAGTTCTTAATTCCGATGCTGTGTATCTTAGCTCTGAAGTGCCCATTTCCTCTATGTACGATGTGTATGTGTGTGTGTGTGTCTGTATACACACGTATCAGAGGGCCCCAAGACCACCCCCAGGTTTAGTGACTCAGCAGGTAGTCTTCCTCATGGCTCTGACTCCTTAACATGCAAGCATACAAAGCAGATTCAGGGAAAGGAAAAGGCACGTGGAGCAGAGTGAAGAAGAAACCAGGAGCAGACTTCTAAGAATCTTCTCCCAGGACACCCGTAAGTGCCTCAGCAGTGAGATGTGACAGCAAATGTGAGCCTTCTACCAGGGAAGCCCAGGAGACTCAGTGCTCAGAGTTTTCATCAGGAACTGATCACATTGGTGCTCTCTACTTGGCACAGAAACTTCTAGACTCCAGAAGGAATGCACGTGTGCAGCATAAACCATATTGCTTACACACAGTTTAAGCTCTGCGAACCGTTTATATTAGGTCACAGTGAGAGTGTCCTGAAATCTGAGTTCCCAAGTGCCAGCCAAGGTGCGCCTCACAGCGGACCTTTCAGAGGATAGCAGTGTCTTGCCTGCTGTATCACATCTCTGCACAGCACACATACTGTGCATCCATCGAACTTATTCCTTCTTTTCCTTTATTTGTTCATGTTTTCCTGTTTTGTTAACCATATTAATCATAGTTCATTTTAAAGTTCTTGTTTATTAATTCTAATATCTGGGTCTCCTTGTGGTCTGCTCTAATTTATTACCTATTTCTTCTATCACATAAATGATAATATTAAAGAGCTAACTTTTTCTTGGTTTGTCTTTCTTCCCAGTGTACCGTGTGCACACTGCTGGCTCCTGCAGTTTGTAATTTAGTAAATGTTAGTGTATGCGTCTCCTCATGAGATCGTAAGCACTTTGAGAACAGAAGTAGAGTTTTCATCAGTAGTATTTACAGCTGGTGGAGCAGTTCCAGGCCCTTGGTGGAAACTCAGTTTGCGCAAGATACTTCTTTTGTCCTACATAGTGTAGCACAAAAGAAGGCATCCTATGTGTCAATTTTTAGTAAACGCTAAAGAGATTAGCTCTTTTAAATCTCTTTCCCATCCTATAGTTCTGACACTTTCATATAGAAAAGGAATATACCATTACAGGAACAAGTGTCGTTCAAAGATGTATGTGTGGACTTCACTCAGGAAGAGTGGTATCTGCTGGATCCTGCTCAGAAGATACTATACAGAGATGTGATTCTAGAAAATTACAGCCACCTTGTCTCAGTAGGTAAGAATTGTTTTTTCTTGTGACTGACTACCAGTAGCACTACTCAGTGCATTTCTAGTTGTTTAAACATATGAATTGCCTGTGGAATTTTCTGATTTGAAACTTGTGATTCAGGGCCCTGAGATGACCGGTCTCTCTCTGGCCACCACAAAAAAATGCTGTTTTCTGACTTCCTCTGGGGTTGGTTCATTTGGGCATCTCCCTTGGGTAGTTCCTGAAGCTGTACCCTTCAGGGTTCCTGAGGCCAGGCTATTTAGCCATTGCCCTATATTATTTTTTCTTAACAGGATATTGCTTTACTAAGCCAGAAGTGGTCTTCAAGATAGAGCAAGGAGAGGAGCCCTGGATATTAGGGGCAGGATTCCCAAGCCACTGCCACCGAGGTGAGTTAGTGAGTTCATGGGCAGATGTAAGGCAAGGAGATGAGATCTTAGGCCATTGGTTTAGGGTTTATCACTTTTGAAATATTCTTCAGAATTTTCTTTTCTTAGGGGCACCTGGGGTGGCTCAGTAGGTTGAGCATCTGACTCTTAATTTTGGCTCAGGTCATGGTCTCGTGGTCTGTGGGATCGAGCCCTGTGTTGGGTTCTGTGCTGACAGTGTGGAGCTTGCTTGGGATATAAAAAATGGGATGTGAAAAAAATACAAGGTTTTTTCAAATCACTCAAAATAAAATTACCATGGGCCACACCACCTCTTATGGCATCATCTGCTATCAGTCTCGCCCACACCTACTCACCTCCAGCCACAATGTCCTCTCTCTCTGTTTCTCTCTCTTCCCCTCCCCTCCCCTGCACACCCACTCTCTCTTTCAAAATAAATAAACTTAAAAAAAAAAGAATTTTTTTTTTTTTTAGTCTTAGACCTTTGGAAGTGAGTAAGGATGGTTGGCCCACATCCCCATTACCTTAATCACACTCCTCCATATGTCACTTTCACTCATAAATGCTTACCTTTGTCCTTCAACATTTTCGAGCGATTTACCTGTGCCCATAATGCAAACTTAGTTTGGTTTCATCTTCGATAGTTTTTCTTGGTTAGTTTATCTTTTAAAATCGTTGTATTCTCTTTGGACACCTTGTGTTAGTTGGCATGTATTCTTGCTATACTTGAAGATATTCGTTTAACAGATATGTGATGGGCACTCATTACAACCCAGTTGTGTTCTTTGGTAAGTAAAAGAATAACGTCCCTTTTATCATGGAGCGTGTGTTACAGTGAGGGACGAGGAGCCGGTGTGTGCGCGTACGCGTTCGTGCATGTGACTGTATACATGCAGTGTTTGTGGTCGGGATGGAGAATGATGGCATGTGCTATTTGGTAAGGACGTCATAGAAAACCTTTTTGATGAGGTTCACAGTAGAGTTGAGATTCTAATAAAGTGAAAGTGTGAGCTGTTCCAGGCACAGGGAACAACAGGTGCGAAACTTCTCAGCTGTGTTCTTAGAGTGTTTGAAGGATGGCAAGGGGGCCATTGTGGCTGGAGGTGAGTAGGTGTGGGCGAGACTGATAACAGATGATGTCATAAGAGATAGTGTGGCCCGTGGTAATTTTGAGTGATGTGAGAAAACCTTGTTTTTGTTTTTTCCTTGTTTTTTTTTTTTTTTTTGAGTTAATCTAAGTCAGATTAAGTCATCAGATGTGGTTTATAGTTTATGCAGTAAATACACTGGGATGGTTAGATGTGCTTAGGCGCGGTCAAAGAAAGAATATCATTTATGAGAGTATTCTGAACTCCGGAGGGGAGAAGCCAGTGGCTAAGGTGATACCAGAAGTGCTGAGGAGCGGGAGGCTTGTGTGTCTTGAGGATGAGAGTATGGAAGAGAGACCGGAGTCCAGCCTGACTCCACTCATCTGTCTCAAGCAACTGGGTAAATGAGGGTGCCCTTCACTGAGACAGGGGACCTTAGAGATTATAGGGGAATTATGCCGTATTTAGATTTGGACAAGCGGAGCTCAGGAGAGCCGCCAGAACCCAGTGTGTATTGACTAAGAACTCGGATGTATGCAGGTGTGCTGTACATGGTGAGGCCAGAGCCAGGGGTGCCCGTGTGAGGGGCATCCACTGTGGGTCGTGGTGAAGGAACGAGGCTGGGTGGGAGCTTCTAGATCGGAGGTTGGCAGACTTTTATGTAAAGACCGTAGCACATGTTTTAGATTTGGTGGGTCACCTGTGGTCTGGATGGTGGCAGCAGCAGTGGTGGCTGCTCCTCCTTCTCCTCCACCTCCTCCTCCTTTTCCTCTTCCTCCTCCTGCTTCTCCTCCTTTTCCTCTTCCTCCTCCTCTTCTTCCTCCTGCTCCTATTCCTGCTCCTCCTCCTTTTCCTTTTCTTCTTCCTGCTCCTCCTCCTCCTTTTCCTCTTCCTCCTTCCCCTCTCCTATTCCTGCTCCTCGTCTTCCTCTTCCTTTTCCTCTTCCTGCTCCTATTCCTCCTGCTCCTCCTCCTCTGTCTCCTCCTCCCTCTCTTCTTTCACCTTCTCTTCCTCCTCCTTCTCCTCCTCCTCTTTCTCCTTCTCCTCCTGCTCCTATTCCTGCTCCTTGTCTTCCTTTTCCTCCTCCTGCTCCTCCTCTTACTCCTCTTCCTGCTCTTCTCCTCCTCCTCCTCCTCCTGCTGCTGTTGTTCCTCCTGCTCTTCCTTCTATTCCTCCTATTCCCCCGGCTCCTCCTCTTCCTCTTCCTTTTCCTGCTCCTTCTGCTGCTGCTCCTCCTGCTCCTCTTCCTCTTCCTCCTGCTCCTCCTCCTCTTCCTGCTCCTCCTCATTCCTGGTTTCTCTTCCCTCTCCTCCTGTCTTTCTTCTTCCTTTCCCTACTGCTTCTTCTATCTTTCCCTCTAAAAACATAGAAAGCACTCATAGATCAAGGACCCTCGCTCAGCCATCGTAGTTCACAGACTCTGTTTCTAGAGTGGTTGTTTCCAAGTGAGAGCAGTGGCCTTGGAACCGCTCCACTTCTACAAGTGGTTTACAGTCCGTTACATCTCGTCATGAGAGGAGCTGGGGAAGGAGCAGCCTGAGTGACAGGAAAGCCCGAGACCCTGGTTTCCCAGGGATCCAATAGGGAACAGTCTGCCATCCTGTTTCCACCTTCAGTGACCGCTCCAGCATCAGCCTGCTGAACCTGTTTTCTCCTGTTACTAGTTTCCTCATATTCCTGGGTTGTGTGCCTTCCAGAACCATCTTCCTGCCTCTTCAGTGTCTCACCGATCCCACTCAAAACCAGAACTGCGTCTGTGTTCTCTCATTCCTCACTTGATCTAATTGCTAACTGGTTTTTATCTTCTTACTGAAAGCATCCAGTTTATCTTTCACTAACCTGGAAAAGTTGGTAGTTATTAAGAAATGAAATTAAAATTAAAGTCTCATTTTATTGACCATTGCAGTGTGGTCCTGTTCTACGTTTGTCATTTCTGTCTCTCTGCTCTTTTATTCTTGTTTGCTTTGCCTTTTCAGATACTTAATAGTGTACCTGTAAATTGTTTAGACATTGCATGGCACACTGTGAAGGCTTGTTGTTATTATTTCACTTATTGTAAGTTAGAAATCAAGTTTTTTTTTTCTATCACTTAAGCAAGCCATATTTTATGGCCCTCACCCACAAGTGACTGTATCTCAGAAACTCAGATCTAATCATAGTACCCTTGTTTAGGGTTTCTTTCTTTACTGAGATTTTGTTTTCCCAAAGAGAAGGCCCTTTCTTTTCCTAATTCTGACAATTTACTAATTACTTTGTTGATTAACTGTGGAGCCAGGTTTGTAAGAAATCATACTTTTCCATTCATTCAGAATGCATTCTGTGGTACTAAATTCACATTGCCATTTTGTCCACATGTATTCCAACCCGTCAGGTACCATTTGGAAATGATTCATATACACAATGCTTTTAAGAATCATTCATATTTTGCTTCTGTAGTGGGGTCAGAGGAAGCAGGATTTTCATAACACCTGCCAAGAATGAGATTGTGGTCTTGACAAAGGGTGGTCTTGAGCAAAGGTCTTGAGCAAAGGACTTATCTTACACTAGGGTGAATCTTAAAGGCAGTAAACTTCCAAAGACAGCGAGTGAAGGCTGAAAGTGGAAGGATGTTGCAGTGTTCATTGGCATTCATTCTTTTATTATTATTTTTGTGGTTTGTTGTTTTCAATTAAAGAAAGCCACATTTCCTGAAAGATGTCCAGGTTCCAGGAAGAACGGAGCTGGCGTGCAGCTGGCTGGGTGAAAGGTGTGTCTCTGGGAGTTTATGAGAGGGTTTATGAGAGACCCAGCTGGAGCTGCACAGAAACCCTATTAATGGACTTGTGACAGGGTGGCTTGCACATTTACTGTGGATCCAGTCAGTGGAAAGTTTGTTTTGTTTAGATTTGTTTTAGCAAGATAGTAAGTTAACAGTTGGTCCTTGGAGCAGTGGACTTGGGACCGCATGAGACCTTTTTTCACACAGGATGAACATTGTTGCCTCGGGTAGCTGCAGTGAAGCAAGGCCAAGAATGTTTATGACAAAGTTCACAGAAGGTCTCAGAACCCTGTAGAGAAAAGTGATCCTTCTGGGTCTCACAAGTAGGTAAAAGCCCCAGATGAGGCTAGTGTAAAAGCAGAAAACCTTGATGTAAAAAAATAAACTTAGATATCAGAGCAAACTTAAAGATCAGCATTGCCTCAGAAATGAAATGTTTTGGGGAGAAGTAAGCCAGCAGACTGGAGTGAGTGACCCGGTGACTTGTCGGTCAGGACAGAGTCTTTAACAGCTGTGAGAAAACAAAATGAACCTGGTCCTTTGCAGAGATGGCCTGCCCCTCATCTGTTTTGTATTTCCTACTGGCTATTTGTGGTGTTGTGAATCACAGCTAGGTAGAGAATGAGAGTCTGAGGCAAAGCAGTGTCTCTCAAAACATGAGGAAATAGGTGCTTTCAGATATTTCTTTTGATGCTGATCTATCAGATGAAGGGAAGAAAGCGAATGGCAACACACATACAGATGAGGGTCCTACTATAGTTAATAGGCAGACTGTGAGGATGTGAGGACATCAGCCACGATCTGCCTCTGAACTCTTCCTTGGCTGTGTTTCTTAGTCTATTTATAGTTTTTTTGTTATCAAAAAAAAGAAAACCCCTCCCTTGTTGAACTCATCCAGTTCTCTACATTTCCTGCTTCCTAAATCAACATCTCTCAGAAAATCTCCAGCCCTTCCTCACTGTTTTGAGTTTATTTCACTTCCTCCAGCCTGCTTCTTACAGCTTTTTAAAAAAAATAATTATTTCTCGTGAAATAAGTTAAAAGAAAAACCAGATTCTGGGCTATAGGACCTCCTGGTTGAAGCTGAGGAAGTTGGCATTGGTGCATAAATAGAAGATACGCTCCAGCACGATTCCCACTCCAGAAATCTACATCTGAGAGGATTTAGGACTGGACTGTTCTGTCTCCACCAGACATAGTTCATCCTCAGAAAGGCCCGTCCACTAATCTTCGCTGTCACTTCATGCAGTGTTCAGTGTCTGAGTTCCCCTGAATCAGCTGCTCCTAGCTCCTTGTGCTTTGAATTTTGACCCTTTCCTGTCCAGTTTTGAAGGTTATATACTTAAAATGTTAAATGTCGAGGCACCTGGGTGGCTCAATCATTTAAGCATCCAACTCCTGATTGAGCTCAGGTCATGATCTCGTAGTTTGTGAATTGAAGCCCCGCTTTGGGCTCTGCGCTGTCAGCACAGAGCCTTGGGATCTCTCTCTCCCTCTCTCTCTGCTCCTCCCCTGCTTATGCTCACTCTTGCGTGCGCGCTCTCTCTCTCTCTCTCAAGTAAAACTTAAAAAATAGTTAAAAAATAATAAAATGTGAAATCTCATTGCCAGATTCCTTCCCTGTTTCCACTGCCGCAGTATTTATTTTCCAGTGAAAGCAGGAGGATAAAAAACATATGCTTGGATTTAGTTCACACCAGGAAATTGAGCCTAAGACAAAAACATCAACTACATAAAACGACGTTTGTGTGAGTTCATTTCTATTAGAAATGTACTAGGATTCATAAGATATGGTTATTTTTCTCATTTCTAGAAGACTGGAAAGTTGATGACCTGATAGAGAGCAGCCAGGACAATGAAGACGAACACTTTTGGCAACTTGCTTTCACCGCCAACAAAACGTTAAATATAGATACTGGTGCCAGAGTAAGAAAAACTTTCAATCTGGGCACAGATTCTGTTTCTTCAAGAAATTTTCCATATAAGATCTGTGACTCATGTGAAATGAGTTTGAAAAATATTTCAGGCTTAATTATTAGTAGAAAGAGCTATTCTGGAAAGAAGTCTGATGAATTTAATGCGTATGAGAAATTGCTCCTTGACATCAGACATGAGAAAACTCCTTCTGGAGGGAAATCTTGTAAATATAATCAAAAAAGGAATGTGCTCAATCATAGCCACAATCTCAGTCAGCCAATTTTTGACCAACCTTCTGATTATCATGAAAATGGACCAGCCTTCCATGAGGAAGCGGCATTTTTCACAAACAAGAAAATACAGGTAGGAGAGACGCTCTGTAAATACAGTGCATGTGGAAGAACGTTCATCCACAGTTTAGAACTCGGTTTATCTCAGAGAACTCATTTGGAGATGGAGCCATATGAATGCAACATTTGTGGGAAGTCCTTCTACAGCGAGTTAAGATTGGGACATCAGAGAACTCTCCCAGGGGAGACTGCTTACGAATATAATGAATACGGGCAAAACTTCTGTGATGACTCAACTTTCATTATCCATCAGGGAACCTATGCAAGAAAGATTCCCCACGAATATAAAGTGAACCATAAAATGTGGGAAAAGTCAGCCCTCTTTAAACATCCGATAGTACAGGTGGGCAAAAAACCTTATGAGCACAATGAAAATAGAAATAACTTCAACAAGAAGTCACATCTCACCCAACTTCGAAGAGCTCACTCAGGAGAAAAAACCTTCGAATGTGGCGAATGTGGGAAAACATTCTGGGAGAAATCAAACCTCACTCAGCATCAAAGAACACACACAGGAGAGAAACCCTATGAATGTACTGAATGTGGGAAATCGTTTTGTCAGAAACCACACCTTACCAACCATCAGCGAACACATACAGGAGAAAAACCCTATGCATGTAAGCAGTGTGGAAAAACGTTCTGTGTAAAGTCCAACCTCACAGAACATCAGAGAACGCACACAGGGGAGAAACCATATGAATGTAATACGTGTGGGAAATCCTTCTGCCACAGGTCAGCGCTAACTGTACATCAGAGGACACACACAGGAGAGAAACCCTTCGTATGTAATGAATGTGGGAAATCCTTCTGTGTGAAGTCAAACCTCATTGTACATCAAAGAACTCACACGGGGGAGAAGCCCTACAAATGTAATGAGTGTGGGAAAACCTTCTGTGAAAAATCAGCTCTCACTAAACATCAGAGAACTCACACAGGAGAGAAACCCTATGAGTGTAACGGATGTGGGAAAACCTTTAGTCAGAGGTCAGTACTGACGAAACATCAGAGAATTCACACAAGGGTGAAAGCTCTTTCAACATCCTGATGTCTAGAACCTTCCATCCACCCTTTCAAATTCTTAACACCATTTTTGAAAATAAGATGAATGAGACCCAAAGAATGCCTCATGTTACTAGAAAGCGACATCTTGTACTTCAAATAATGAATTGTGAAAGCTCTCAAAAACTGAAACTTCTTACCAGAAAGATTATATTGAGGGGAAGTTTATTCACTTAAGTACTGTGGTAAAAGTCTTTGTCTAGAATTTATGTTGTGTCATATTCCAGATGTGATACCATATTTTATTGTAAATACAGTAGATGACATTCATTCATACCCATATTCACAATGGAATCTGGAGCTTAAAATCACAGCAGCATTAAACATTAATGTAAAGAGCCCCTGACGATTGCAGGCCCAATGTGGGTGTAGTAGTATCACAGAAATGGCACATATGCTTGATTTGCAAATTGAGATTGTAAGTTCACAACGAACTTGTGAAGAGAAAATATCCCTTCATTAAATAACTTATGGTCTATATTAATATTTCCCACACTAAATACCCCCAGTGTCTTTATGGCTTGGCATAAATACATATGTATATATGTAGATGTAAATATATTTATATACCCATGCCCACACAGATACAGTGGTGTGTTAGAGTAAGTTCCCAATGGCTTGCAAGTACTGCTGATGGTTATATTTCCAGGAATTTTGTGAGTCAGTTCTTCAACATAGTCATTATTTAAAAATTAAATTATATTTAAAACAAAGGTAAAAACTACTCAGCACTCCTTGTTTCCTAATTATTTTATAATATGTTGCCATGATCTTTGTTCTTTAGGTCACTTACATTATTGAGTCTGCATGGTGAAAATACCATATAACATGTTCTCCCGCCCATCTCTTCCCACCTCTGCACTCAGTGTTGTCATGTGGGTAGCTTGGCTTTAGTGTGAGTGTTTACACCCTGGATATTGGCAAAATCTATAAACTGGGGTTTTTGTTTTTTTCTTAGAGAGCCTGTTGTCAAATATTTGCCAGCACACCACCGTGTATATATATGAAAATATATTTGGAAAATTTACAGTACAAACTATATACCCTACCCCTTGTTCCATTTCCTGCCAAATAAGTGGCTGTGGCCATTATTGCTGAACTGCCTCTTCAATAAAGAACCCTAAGTCTGTTTTTGTGAGGTTTTTTAACTACCTCTGCATCAGTCTTCATTGTAAATACTACCAGAGCCTCTTTGTAGTTTGGCCAGTCTATGTTATTTTATAAGCACATCATCGCTCCTTCCTCTGACATTGCTGGCATATGTGAGTGAGTATGGCTGTTGTTACTGAACTACTTCCCTAAAGAAGCCAAATAGTATTTTTCTGAGGTTTTTCAGCTGCCTCTGGGTCAGTCTGTAACATCAGTTATGAACAGGAATACTCACTACACTCCACAAATAAAAGTAGTGCTGTGCACTAGAATACCGCCTTCATTCTCTGGTATTTGTATCTACTTGGGCATGATCCGTTGTATGTGACCCAGGAACTAGAACTATGTAATTGTATTTAAAATAATACGATGTCATATACTGTCTCTTCATCCTTTGTTCTACTGTTTCCTATGCCTCCTTGGAACACACTTATCAGCAGTTCCAAGGACACTACCCACCCAGCACCCATTCTCTGCTTCTTACTTGCTGGGCTCTGTTTTGTTTCTCTTTCCATCCCCCATCCCCCCTCCCCCCCCCCCGATGATTTAGGAGTAAATCCAGATTAAGTTAATCTTGGAGATGCTATTCTATTCTCTTGGGATGGACATATGAGCAGTGAGATGTTTGGAAAATATTCTGCAGTATTTCTGGGCAAGATTTCAGTGATGAAATACTGTCGTGCCATGAGAAGACACAAGGAGAGATTGTCTCTTCTATGCTGGATTTTTTTCCATGTTTGTATGTTATACCAAATTATAGCTTGTGGCCCTGAAGGGCAATATCCTGAAGAGAATGACAGACAAAATGGAAAAAGCCTGACTCAGAGGTGACATCATTGAGCTGCACAACTCCATCTGGATCTGTTCTCTGCTAGGACTTTATATTACTGCAGTAGTAATGGTTTCTTATTGATCCTTAGGGCTGTCACTTAGAGCTGAAGCATTCCAGCTGGTACTGATGAGTACTTAGTTCTAAGTGTTTATATTCTACACAGTGATTTGGAGGAAGAATGATTTCTTCTGACAAATGAACAGGGATAGCTCTTTGTATCAGTCTTGGTTCTGATGAAAAACAGAATTCTACCCCAACTAAGATTCTAATGGCAGGCTTCTTACAGTGGTGAGGGCCAGAAACAAGGGATACTGACACACCTTGGGGCTAGCATCACTGAGAAGCCATGACCAGTCTAAATCCTTAAGGGGCAAAGGATGGAGACAAGAGTCCCCAGAGCCCAATAAGAGCTGTTCTTATGGAGGAGAGACTGTCTCCTAGGTGATACTGATACTACCAGAATTGTGGCACTGAATTGCTGGTGCCTCCCTTTGGAGCACCCAGCCCGATGCTATCTGCAGGTTAGCCCAGGTGGGCACAGGTTAGCCCAGGTGGGCAGAGAAAAGGGACACAGGTCTGGGTGGAGCCAAGGGATGAGAAGCAGCTCAGTGTGTTTTCATTTCTGTAAATTCCTATTTAAAGTCTCCGTATTGGAAATAAACTTACTCTGCTAGTTGAAAGTTACGTATTTCTGCTTCATTGTGCTTGTATGTCATCATAAGTAAATTCCTTTTGGAACTGAGCACTGTGGCAGGTATGTCTCCATTGACATGCATGAAGCAGATAGTATGTTAAATTACATTCTTCATATATCCCAATGTGGTGTTTCTTGTTATTATGTGTTGTGAGGTATGCAGCTCTGTATTCTTCCAAATAAATAGCCAGTTGTCCCTGCATTGTTTGATTAATTTACCCTCTTCCTCGTCAGCTTGATAATGGCATTTTGAGCATGTACTTATATATTGTGTGTAGTGGCTATTGATTTTTGTCTGCTCAAGGCACCTTTTCTATATTCTTCCAAGTAACCGGTCCTTGTGAACACATGAGTTGACATTGATTGCGGATGCCATCTCTTCCTGGCCCCACGTTTGTATTGACCCAGGAATGGTCATTTGTTACAAAATAGGCCGATGAGAACCCACCCTAGAATATTTTTGACAAGTCCCCATGACCAGATAGTTTGTGTCCTTGTTGCTGTCAGAAGTCCTATCAAGAAAACACGTCTGCATGGGCATTGAGGAGGGCACTTGTTGGGATGAGTACTGGGTGTTATATGGAAACCAAATTGACAATAAATTATATTAAAAAATATATATATGTCTGCAAGGGAGAAGATGATGGGGATAGTGCTGTAAAGTAAAATAAAAATAGGAAAGTTGTCAGAAACATGGTTTGATTCCACATCGCGCGAAGAGGGAATGATCGCACTTGGAAGGCTACAGTGGAGGGAGTAAACCATTTGGTTATCTGGAGGGAGGGAGGGAGGGAGTGTGTGTGTGTGTGTGTGTGTGTGTGTGTGTGTAATGTATAGACAACAGTTTTACATACCTATGATTGTGTTTCCTGAAACAACACCCTAATTGTCTGTAATATATTTCGAGGTCTTATTTTGTATTGTACTACATTCTGTTAAAAGAAATACTTGTTCCCGTTTAGTAAACTGATTCACAGGCAATGAATGGGTCATCTCCCAGAGACTGAAAGCCAGTGTTCAAGTGCAAAGTGAGAAAAGAAATTTGTGGGTCACAGGTGTGGTTTTCTGAAATGACTAAGCAATTTACATTCCCAGTGCCTGGAAATTGTTTTCTGATAAACTCCCAAGAACCTCTCTTTTGGGAATTGGGCCCATTTTCTGTGTTGAACTTGGCCCCCCCTTCCTGGTGTGCCCTATCACTTCACATCCAGCCTGTACTTGGAAAGGCATAGCCTCTGGAAGGTTCAACCCATTGGTGTCCTAGATGCCCTCAACCATCCTACTTGTTGCTCTGGGTGGGAAGCATTAGCTGTAGCTGTGCCCTGGCATTAACCCCTCTGCCTCTGCTTCTGGGGAAGGCTTATCCTGTTCTGATTCCTGTTATTTCCTCTAGATCTTCATCTGCCGCTCAGGGACTGGACACTACGTAATCCCAGTGTCCTCCCTTTTCCCTTGCCTGCCCCTCCTTTCAGACTCTACATCCTCAGGCTTCCCTTTCAGACAAGGAGGAACTAATAGCTACTCTTAGACACCGCTTTTTAGGAGCAAGGTCCCCTCAGATACTTGGAGAGGTAGGAAAGTTGATGCTTGATATCTTGAGGCTTCCACCAAGTCTGGCGTCCATAGTTTGGGATGGTTAACACTCAAACTGACATTTGCTGGAGGCCGGCTCCGGCATGTCCAGGGGTCCCTGAAGGATGGACGGTGTCGGGGGGGCAGAGAGAGAGAGAGAGAGCGAGCGAGCCCCAGAGATTCTTTCTGATCACCACCAGGCAGGCATCTCTGCTCTGACTGGGGCTCAACTTTATTTTATCATTAAGTGTTTGGGGGACAGCGCAGAAGTGGCATTTGCCTTAGACAATGGTTTCTGATAACAAACTTCTTTGATATGTAAGAAATTTCCCAGAACATAGATTTGTAGAAGACTCATGCATAACGATTACAATAGTGATTGAGGTAGGGGATTTAGATGCCTATCCTATGGGGAAGGAAGGCGTCTTTAGCATACCAGACAAAGTTTTCAGCATAAAAAGGGTGAAGTTACTTCTCTGTGCACAGGGGTCAACAGCTTGTTTGTTTAAGGTGGCAATATCAAGAAAAACAGGTCTTTCAGGGAACACCTCTACTCTCATAATTACAAGAGAAGAAGTTCCTCAACAGGTTTCTTCACAGGTAGCAATGAGCATATACAAGGCCAGAAAATGCTCTTAAGCAGAAACAAATGGGTGTGGGTGGCTATTTGCCCTTAACTCTAAATTAGGCTCTTTGTCTCAGGGCCAGACTCAATTGTCTTTGATATGCAAGGTCCATAGGAAGAGGCTTTTTACAATCATCCATAGAGCTTTTATCTAAAATCTCTTTTGTAAAGGCAGGAATATGCTTTTCCTTATGAGGTATCTGTGTTTGGAATATTGGTCTGATATGGAATAATGTGAGGCCTGGTCAATACCAGCAGCCTCATTTCCAACATGAGCCTGTAGTAGCAGAAAGAGATACCAGTTTTCGTTTCTCATGGCAGGAGCTGCAAACACTGCCATTTCCTTGCTGTGACTGCCATCCAGAGAGGCCGGTGCGGCTCCCGGCAGACATTCAGATTCCTCATATACAAAATGGGGGTAGTTTTCCCCATGTGAAACAGTGGGTCTCATTTTCAGCTTGCTTGTAGTGACACACAGGCCAAAAACTCTTGTTTGTCTAACCCCCCAAAGTCCTTACAGAATAGGAGAGGAGTTTAGAACTACTTGAATTCTGGGGCACCTGGGTGGCTCAGTCGGTTAAGTGTCCACATGATCTCACAGTTTGTGAGTATGAGTCCCATGTTGGGCTCTGTGCTGACAGTTCAGAGCCTGGAACCTGCTTCAGATTCTGTCTCCCCACCCCCCTCTACCCCTCCCCCGCTCATGCTCTGTCCCCTTCTCTCTCAAGAATAAACAAACAAACAAACAAACAAAAGAACTACTTAAACTCCAGCCCCTAGTGAAGAATATATCCTGCTGTTGTGGGTCTCTGACCACATTCTTTAAACTAGAAAAGGAACTTGGAGAAGCATGGCAGTTGTGACTAGTGCCTGTGGGTAATAGGACTTCTTTAGTCTTCTGTGACTGGGCGCTCCTATGCTGATGGTCCATGCCAGCTGCCCATGGTGGGGGTAGAGGGTGTGAGTATTCTTTGGAACGTAACAGATGAGTAGTCTTCACCCCTGTCCTCTCCTAAATAGTTACCTCTTCTAAAACAACTATTGGGTTTTAGTCCAGCACGTATCCTAGGACTTTTTCCATGCATTTTAATCCATGTTTGTTTACCTACGCAGAATTTATAATAGGAATCTTAAGGGCATTTGACTTTTGCAAATCAGAAATACTGTAAAAATACTAAAATCCTACTTTGCAAGCAAAAGTATGTATGCCATTTCCAAATAATATGTTGTTGCCTGGAATTAGACAACTTTAAAGCT